CAGTGAGGATGGACATATGGGCAAGGGAGTCCCCCCACCGGACAGAGCTGGCTGAAGGCAGATGGTCAGGGACCTCCTGGTGGCCTGAGCATCCCTTTGGCCACCCTGGGAAGCCTGATGTGACCCTAAAAGCTCCTCGGAGGAAGAAGTCTCTTCCGTGGGCACAGAGTGTCTAGGTTTTAGAACATAAGGATGGATGTCAGAAACATTCTCGTTGATGTTTCTTTCCTGGGCTGGTCCATGGGTGGGTCTGAGTCACTGGACCAGCTAGCAGCCCATCTTCCAGACTCACTTAGCAGAATTTGCGTTTGTAAGGCCTCCACGTTCATTTCCAGGAGTGCGATACTTTACCACCTCACACCCAAGCACGTAGAAATCTCTGCCCGCCGAAAGAGAGGAATCACGCTAAAAATGCAAAAAGAAGGCTCAAAACTTAGGCAGAATCCCTTCGAAAGCTAACAAGGCACACGGGGGGCATTTACTTCTGCCGTGGAGGCTGATTTATTAAAGACAGACCAGTCTTGAGAAAGAATCTCAAATATTGATGACTTAAAGCTTCTTCACTGGAAGAGAAAATGTGGAGCCCGGCTCACAATCGCGGAGATTCAGCTGTCTACATGCAGGATGCGCAGCAAAATGTCACAAGGTATTTATAAATCACCAACAAAGCATGATTCCACAAAGTCATCTACAGGCTTGTTTGTCCATTTGGGGCAGGGCCCATGAGTTTCTAGGGGGCACATTTCCTCACAGACCAGGCAACACTGCCTTCAGCATCTCAACGTTAGAACAGGCTGACTGTAAAGCAAGTTCTCAGACAAGTGTGTTTCCTCGGGGATAGGCATTGTTGATAAAGTTACACAGACGACGATTTGCACTCTAGGAAGGAACCCATATGGAAAGAAAGTCGGAAGGACTCTTTTTCTAATGCAGTCTCAGGCCTGAGCATTTCTGACAGCCACAAAACCAGAAAAAGCCAAGGGAAAGCTGAAGTCACAGTGTGGGGAAATTTTAACCAGAAATGGCGACGTGATTTCCACAAAGCTCACACAAAAGAGGGAAATTTTAACCAGAAATGGCTACGTGATTTCCACAAAGCTCACACAAAAGAGGGGAGTATTTGTGTGAAAGGAAAGAAAAAGAGAGGTAAGCTTTTTTGACAAGTAAGATTGAAGGATGGTTTTGGGGAGTCCTCGGAACCACCTGTGACCAGAGGCCAGCACCCGGCTAAACTCAGCAGCTACATGAAAAGCCTCCGGTGAAAAGCAAGCTCACGGGGTCTGTGTGGAAAGGGGTATGTGAGTGTAATCAGGCTTTGGGTTATACTCTGAAAGGCTCAGGCACTCCGGTGGAGACCCCAAATCACTGCCAGTCGGTTCCTGGGGCCCTCTCCCTGGGGCGGCCTGGGGTGACAGGACACAGCTCTGGGACCCTCCCACAGAGGGCTTCCGTCCCCTCACTGGAGGAGGCTAGATGATGAGTCCCCACATCCCATTTATGATGTCCTGAGAGGTGTTCCTCAGGTACCTGCATTCTAGGAGCCCTACTCAAATGGCCCTGAGCCTTCCTCGCTGGACTTCCTGGACCTCTGTCGCCTGGCTGGGGAGCAGACTGCTCTGGGTCACCTCTGGCCATGCCTGATCCAATTCCCCAGGCGAGGAGGGATGGTGACTGGGGGCTGCTTCCCCGCACTTCCAAGCCAGCAGCCGAGTCACCTCTTGGTACCTCCCACCCTCCCACCTTAGTTTCCACTCACTCCAGACCCCCTGGACTCGAGGGTCTACATCTTCGATCACGGGTTTCTGGTTCCTGCCTGGAATCCCTTCCCCCTTCTCCTTTAGAAAATGCCCGCCCACTTTTCAAACCCACTCAGCTGCCCTCCAGCACTGCGTGGAGCCTTCACTGCGTTCCCACGGCACTGGGGGGACCACGGCCACACTCACACACTGTGGGAGCGGTCCAGAGGTGGGCCTGCCTACAAGACAGCGGGCTCCTGCAGGGTGAGCTGTGTTCAGGCTTTTAGAAGGGTCCAGCCCGGTGCCACCATGTTGCAGGGGCTTGGAGATCTTTCCAGCAGGCTGAGCGCAGGAACCTGTATGTAGCTCCCGTAGCTCTGACTCATGCATTTATCTGTTCACTGGCCACCGAAACAGCTCAGGTTAGCCCTGGCAGCCTTTCTTACAACCAACAACGTTCATCTGACAATTTCTAAGCGCCTTAAATGTGTTGGGTGCCATAGTGAGTGGAGGGGTAAAAAGAACAGTTTGTCTCAGTGCTGAACAATCAAGGACTGAGCAGCTTTTGTTTTGCGACTCGTCAGACGCTGCATAAGGGTTTCTCGTGATGCTCAGGTCCCCCCAGGGGCCTTATACTCTCAAGGGTAGGATAACATAGACTTGCTCCTTGACCCTGGGGAGGCCACCAGCAGGCCCACCCTGACAGGTGGAGAAGAGGGGCCCCTCCTGGGCCGAGCCTGGCCCCGTCCTGCACCTGCCTGCACGTGGACCCCCACTAGGCAGCAGGTCAGGCTTCTCCACTGGGGTCTCCTCCCTCTAAGAGGTGGGTCCGGGAGGAGGCCTGCACAGGCCTTGGCCATAGGTACAGGCTGCCTGGGTGGAGAATTCTGAAATTCCGGGTGCCTGGAGCGTGGTCTTGAAGGGGTGGATGCTGACCTTGGCCCCTGGACTCCCTGCCCTGTGGCTTCTATGATGCAGGGCCCAGGGCCGAGGATGGGGGTCAGAGCCAGTGATGACAAAGTGTGAAGCTGCAGGCTTATGTCCACTCTTTTAGGCACGTGGGGAAAAAAAGCACCTTTAAGCAAAGGGGAGAATTACCCTTGTTTGTCTACTTGGCCTTCATGCCTGCCTGGGATGCACTGCCACAGAGGGCAGAGGCCTTACGGGGACCCTCGGCTCACGGAGGACAAGGCGCACGCACCCTCCTCAGGACCAGTGGGAGGTGGAGCCCCGCCATCGGCAGATAACCGCACTGCCTTGGGAGACGGAAGCTCGTGCCGTTCGGGCCCGGGCCAAGAGTGGAAGCCTCATCTCTCACATGCCGAGGCATCAGGGCGCTGAGGCTGCTGGGGCGTTCTCAGCCCGGTGACCAGGAAGGCTCCCTGGTGCCAGGGGTGGCAGCTGCCATCCACAGTAACTGCTGTGTGCCTGTAACTGCGCTGAAGGGCAGGAGGCTGCAGAGTCTGCTCTATCGTTTGGTATTTTTAGAGAATGTCTTTGCTGACAGAAGATCCCTCGTGCCTGTTTTTCAGGCAGGGTATTGGCCGGTTGGGGTGAGTGGGGAAAGTTCACCAGGAAGGGGGTCACGCTGAGGGCAGCTTATGCATCCAGAGGGTAAATATCTTACCGGAAGCCACGCACAAAGCAGGGAGCACAGAACTGGGCCCCAACCCATGTCTGGTCTGACTCCAAAGCCCAGGGTGTGCCCACTGACCTACTCAGGTCAGGTGTGGTTGGAAAAGTAAGGTCTCTGTGCCCTCCCCTGAGTCACGGTGTATGTGTGACTGCAATAGAGGCCGCTGGAAATGACGTGTGTGACTTCTAAGGCCGGGCCATTCAGGGCTTCTTCCTTGTCACCGTGACCCTCCCTCTGCAAACCCTCAGCTGCCACGTGGAGCCACGCTGGAGGGGCCACAGCAAGGTGCTCTGGTCAGCAGTCACAGCCGACCTAGTCCTCTGGGCACCGCAGACACAGAAAGCAAACAAGGGAGTGGACGAGCCTTCTTCGAGGGCTCCTCCAGCAGCAATGGCTCCAGCCCCAGCCATCGGTGTCACCACCAGCCGTCCGAATCGTCCCACCCCGGGCCCCGGATCCGGGGGTACAGCATCCCCTCTGTGCCCTTTCTGAACTACTGACCCCTGGAACCCATGAGAAACAGAAAGTGGTTCTTGGGTGTGTCACTAAATTTGGAGACTGTTTCCCAGCAATAAGTAATCAGAACGGAATTAAGAGCATTCCGGGGGAGAGTGAATGCCGCCGAGATGGGAAAGCACGGTGACGGACCTAGTGGAGCCTCTGCCCGGGTCTTTCTGGTTCTGCAGCCACTCCTTCGAGACAGCTTCACCCCTGCACCCTCCCCAAACTCTCCGAATGGGGACAAGGAAAATCAAAGGCCTTCAAGCCACTGGGCCTGTGGACGAAGTGCTAGGGCAGTGGTGGATATTAAGAGCCAGAACACACTTTTATGGACCATCTACTACGTGCCATTACATTTAATCCACGAATTTAACAAATACTTTGGCCCCATCATGCGCCAGGAACAGGTCTGGGAAGGAAGCCACGCACAAAACTATGTCCCTGTTCTCATGGGGCTGATGTGTGAGTGAGGGTGACGGGCAGTAAGCAAATAACTCTATAATATTATGTCACAGAGCGCTCGGTGCTGTGGAGAAAAGTAAAGCCGGGTAAGGGGAAAGACAGGCAGTTGACAAAGGCTGGTTGGAAAAGGAAGGCCTCCTCGAGAAGGTGGTGTTTCAGCAGAGAGAGCCCAGGCTCTGCCCAACCTCAGAACCCACGCCCTGGGCATGGGTATCAAGGAAAGAAAAATCCAGGTATCTTCCAGTGTACACACCTGTGGCCTCTTAGAAACAGTACATTTGGATACACACTTCCATATATAAAACAGATAAACAACAAGGACTAACTGTAAAGCACAGGGAATTATACTCAACATCTTGTAATAACTTATAATGAAAAGAATCTGAAAAAGAATAGGTACACGTATATGTACACACACAGAGATATTACGTAACTGAATCGCCGTGCTGCACACCTGAAACATTGTAAATCAACTATACTGCAATAAAAACATTTTTTAAAAGTACATTTGGAGATCGCCCTCTATGGGGCTCACAGGCCCCCTACCAGGCATGTGAACAGGAGGGGAGACTCCTCTGAGGGCACCTCTCTGCATCCCGCCCCCCAAGACCCCCGCCAGGCCTTCCCTCCGGCCCTGAAGACAGGGCCACCAGAGGGGTACTTACACAGAGCACGTGGAGGACCACTGCCCCCTGTCTTCTGTCCTCGTTGGTGAAGATGTCATTGGGGAACTCGTGCAGGGCTACAGAAGGGAGAGAGAAAAACAGCTCAGTACAGGTGGCAACACTTTCAGGGCGGGAGGTCTGGGACAGCGCCGCCACCTGGATGAGGAAAGATTACATCTATATGTTCACAAATCTCTAACTGGAATTTGGTGTTTCCTCCAGATAAGAACGGAGGCAACAAATTGCAGCTGTGCTAGAAGCACCCGGGCTCTGCCCCCAGGAGACACGTTCATGATCCTCTGTCCTGCCATCCTCATGGCTCACTCATCACTTTAGCGTGAGGGTGGCTCGCAAACCGCCACCTGCGACCAAGGGTTCGTGAGAAAACACGGGAACCACGATCATGCAGGTCTGTCTTCTAACACAGTGACAACTTCATTGCAGTGGATCAGTCTCCCTCTGTCACCTCACACATCTTGCAAACACTGAAATGTTTTCCCGAGCAGAGGTCTGCAGGCTTCAGGGATTACCCAGGGGTCCGTGGCACACACAGGATCAAGTCCCTGCTCTAAACTGTCCCTCTGTCCCTCCTTTCCTTGTCCCACTCCTGCCCTGGCCTGGGGCCTGGGCCTCTTACGAATCCCTCCCGGCTCTCACTTCTATAACACATTGCCCTCCCCTCCCCAGGGAGTCCAGTACAGGGCAGAAACCACGAGAAACCAGCCTTTCCGCCCACTTTCCAAACCCAGGACGCTGATGATGGCCGCTGCGGGGCAAAGCTAAGGAGAGGGAACCCTGCAGGGCAGGCCTGTCTCTCACCCTCGGGCACCCAGAGCCCAGATTTCCTGTCACCATCCGGCCCACCGTGCGCCTGGACCTGGCCGACCCTGAGCCCCACTCTGTGGTTCTGAAGATGACAAGCCCTGCCCACAGGTCCTTCCTGATGTGCCCTTCGTCTGTATGAACTCTCAGCGCCCGTGGGATGGGTTGGCTGCTGACAGGCCAGGATGGGCAGAGACGGAGGCTCTGAGGGCAGGACGGCCACACAGACTTGTGCAGAGTTGACAAGGGCGCACGCAGTGAGCTCTGCTCCTGGCAGGCGTGGGCCCTGCACTTCGCACCCACTACGCCTCTGACCCGGGACAGAAAGCTGCTGCTCCCGTGCTGTAGACGAGGAACCCGAGGCGCAGCCAGACTGGACACCATGCTAGAGGGTCCACAACGAGGACCACGCACCCAGCAGACGGGCCGGGGCCGCCCTCGTGCTGTGATCCCGGCTCCCGGCATCTATTAACCATCTTACTCCACCCGGTGACCTCTTCCTTCTGCGGGCCCCCTCCAAGCAGGGGACCTGATCTGATCTAAATTCTGCCTCCACACACCAGAGGGAAGCAGGTGGGCTGTTTGTTCCTTTGCATTTCTCTGTGCAGCTGCCACGGGGCTTTTCAGCGCCGGGCAGTTCCCGGGTAAATGTGACAATCCCATTGCCCACCTACCCCCAGAAGTGGAGACTGGTTGGTTGGCCTCGTTAGTGTATCGATCAGGACAGCCGTCATCCTGGGGAAACTGAAACCAGGGTCTGCCCTGTGATGGGCGCCACGCAGAACATTCACGCGTGGGGACCGCCTACCATCAGCGAGGAGGAAGTGGGAAAAGTGAGGGGGCATCGAGGTACCTCTGGTGCTGATATATGGAAGCCAGCTACTTTCATCCCTCCTACCCCACCCTGGCTGAGGGCAGCAGGTGAAGGGAGTGAAGGCCACGGTGCAGGCAGCCTTACCAGTCCGCGTCTGCAAGGCACCCACACCGTGCCAGCTCCGTCATCCCTGCCTCTCTACCAGGACCTGCAGGAATGGTTTGATCAAGGGTACTATGTCAGTATGTGATACATTTATGTTTCGAATCCAGGCATTTTGGTTTTTAAATCCCCTTGGCACTCAACAGTGAGTGGAATGACCATGACCAGGTGGATCCTCTGGGCTTTGAGTTTTGGTAGGGGAGGGTCTCGGCAGAGGTCTGGATGCCCAGCCAACCCTGGGACCTGGCTGGGGCTCTTGGATAGGACCAGGCTGAGGGCTGTGCCCTTGGATGGGGAAGGACCCACAGAGCCCAGTGCTGACGCCGGAGGGGCTGAATGCTGTCCAAAGTCCTGGCCAAGCACGTGTTGGGCGGGGGTGAGGAGGGGACGGGAGGGGGGAATGGGCGTGGGGACCACAGCAGTCTCCTTCAGGCTTCTCTTTCCTTACAGCTCAGGGACCCTCCTCTCTCTCTGGGGAGTGGGAGGCTTGGCAGTGTCCCCGTCTTGATCTGCTCTTCCTGGCCTGGTGCCTGATTCATCACCAGCCGGAAACTCCTAGTCCCCGGTCAAGGGTGTCTCCTCCTGTCGGAACCCATGACTGGCCACGAGAAAATCGGTGAAATTCTCCGTGAGATGATCCCAGTGTAGCAGCGGGGGGGGGGGGGGGGGGGGGGGGGGGGGG